ACACGTGGTCATGAGGTACGGCCGGAGCCGAAGTAAAAAAGGTCATGACACGTGGTCATGAGGTACGGCCGGAGCCGAAGTAAAAAAGATCATGAGTGAAGACTATTCAAAAGGTATTTAATCGTGCAGTTCCTTTGGAAAAAGGTTGAAGTGGAGGGAGATAAAATAAAATAAAATGAAATGTAATAAAATGATTTGATCGAGGGTGACAGCTGTCCTCGCGTGCCGTGCTGCTATAAATGATGTCTGGAATAATCTGCCGAATTCGAAGGGACGCGATCGTAGCCGTTGAACATGTACGATCGTGATCGTGAAAATGGGGGAGGGGCTGGGTATAAATAGCCAGCCCTAAGTTATTCACAATTTTACCTAGCTGAATTTGTAGCGAAGCCCTGCTGAAATCGCGAGAGCACTTCGTCCTCCGAGCTGGCAGTTGCAGAGGTCATCGTAGTTGCGAGCATTTGCACCAAGTGTTAGACTTCGTCACCGGAAGCCAGGTAACTCTGAGCTCTACCTCGGTCCATAGTAATTTTGTTTTAAGTAGCCTAGATAAGGGGGGTTAGGCATTTAATAAGAAAGGGGGGAAGTAACAAATAGAGATTATAGGTGATTCTGACCACTGTTGGTGGCGTACTTCTTGTAGTGAAGACTGATAGCAGAGATGTCGTCTGAAGGAACACTAAGTGTTGGAGGGGAAGAAGGGGTGAGGGATGTGACTTCGAGCTCGATCTCTACTTCGAGCTCGAGCTCGAGCTCGAGTGGGGGAAGTGGGGGTAGGACTTTAGTTAGTGGGGGAAGTAGGGGTAGGATCCTAGTGAGTGGGGGAAATGGGGATCAAGAGGGTGGCCTTTTCCCAACCAACATTTTAGAGGTTGCTGACAATTGGGGAAGATGTTATGATGAGAGTGATGAGGTGGTGGGGGAAGTGATGAGATATGAATCGTGCTGGAGGTGCAGGGGGGAGCTGGGGCACTTAGTGGAGAACTATAGTATCCCGCCCCATGTGCTGGTAAGGCTAGCAAGAGGTGAGGAGCGAGCGTGTTCGGCTCCAAAAGACCATTGGATGCCCTTGTACGCGAACTACCTGGCAGCTGGACTCCGGTTCCCAATCCCGGAGTTGCTGGTAGCGCTGCTAAAGGAGTACGGGCTGGGGTTGACGCAGCTTGTCCCTAATGGAGTTCGGTTGGTAGTGGAATTTTTAGTGTATTGCCAACTTCGGGGGGTGCGAATTTCGACTGTAGATCTATTTAAATATTTTTTTATAATCAAGGGGGGTAGTGGGAAAGAGAAGGGGTGGTTTTACTTTACACCTCGGATAGTTGGAGGGAGGAGTAGGAACTTGTTCACTGCAGGTCCTTCGTCCATTAAGGGGTGGAAGGAGAAGTTTATCTTTGTGGATGACACGGAGTGGGGGAGGGGGGATAGGGAGGTGGAAGAGCTGAGTAGGTGGAAGGGGAAGAGAAGAAATCCGAACCAGTACCGGCTGGGCGAGGTGGAGAAGGACGAGGTGAAGATGTTGGAAAGAGGTGGGGGGGAACTGGCGAACATAATGTACCTCACTAA